AGAGCCACAGGGACAATTTTTATAATTCTCTCACCTGGTGTTATAAAGCAGTAATTATTTCGCTCGCCAGAAGAAGCATTGGCAGTTTTTCATGCTTGCACAAGCATTCTCCGTAAAATCATCTCACTTCCACATATTCAGGCTTCATGTCGTTCTCTCTGTTTGATCATTCCGTGGTATGGCAGCCTGGGAATTATGGTGGCCTGGTGTGTCTTCAGAGTTCTAAAAGGAAAAACAGGACACTCACAACCTCTTTCCTGGGTCCCAGCACGTGTCTGGGGTCCCATCCAACCCCCAGCTCACCAAGGATGAAGGTGAGAAGTCTGGGGCTCTCCTCCAACTGCATTTCTGCTGTATCTTTGACCCTCGGTTTCTCTCCTTTAATCTGAAGGTTGGACCAAACCCTGAAGAGTTCTGCTTGTTTGAATGTGCTCCTCCAATATTTTCTATCCTAGGTCTGCATATCTATCGGGATTTAGTTAGGAAAATAATTCATTCTATGTTTTTCAGATATGAGGAGTTTCATATAGGAATTAAAGGCTTGTATGCAGAACAGGCAATATAATTTGTAAGCCCTTAATTCCTATATGAGGACAGAGATTGTGGTGATGGTTCCATAAAGCAAAGGATGTCAGAGACTGGCAGCCAAGCCCCAGAAACAGGGCGGAGGCCTGGAGTAGATTCTTCCTCACAACCCTATGAAGAGCCAGCCAGTCCTGATGACACCTCCGTCTCAGACTTGGAAACTGTGAGACAACACATTTCCACTTTTTAAGCCACTTGATTTCCAGTAGTTTGTCATTGTTCAGTCGCTCAGTCGTGTCCGACTCTGCGACTGCATAGACTGCAGCACATCAGGCTTCCCTGTCCTTCACCAGCTCCCAGAGTTTGCTCAAGCTCATGTCCATTGAGTCGGTGATGCCATCGAACCAGGCCAGAATACTGGAGCGGGTTGCTATTCCCTCCTCCAGGGGATCTCCCCAACCCGGAGATGGAACCCAGGTCTCCTGCATCGCAGGCCGATTCTTTACTGTCTGAGCCTCCCAGGAAACCCTGGCAAACTCATACAGGGCCCTTCTAGGTGCAAGGACCTGAGTGACAGCAAAGGTCACATGCCATGAATTCCAGAAGACCGGCCCTGCTTGTCTGATGGCTGGGGCAGGGGAGTCACAGAAATTCCCGGGAAAGATCTTCACCAAAGCACTGAAGTGGGCATTCTTGAAAGCTCCCGAGAAGGTGCTGCAGCTCTGAAGGATCTCTGGGAAGTTCCCAGACACCCCGTCCTGCAGCCGTGGGATGAGTGGTCTCTAGACCCTCCGGGGAGCTGCCGGGATGCCCACGTGACGCCATGTGGGGCCGATCTAGGAAANTTTTGCTTTAAGTTAATTATAGAAGAAGGAAGGGCGCATCTTTAGATTATTTGCCAGGAACGTTGCTTCTCCACCAAAGCCAGTGCCTCGACATGGAAACCTGGCATCCTTTTTCTTTTCTGTTGCTGCTGTTGAGCCACTTGGTCATGTCCGACTCTGAGACCCCATGGATTGCGCACACCAGGTCTCCCTGTGCGCCCCTAAATGCATGCAGTTTCAATCCTTCTTTGAAGTTAGTATCTTTAAAAATATTTGGTTGTGAGAGAATTTCTGAACTGCCTTTGACAGCTAATGAAAATTGTGCAGTTCAGAGTGGAACTATCCGTGACTGTCAGGAATTCGTGATATAACACCTTAGTCATCTGGGTATATGTAGTGATGTTGCTGTGTAAGTTATAGTGCGGCCCTGAACCTAATAGTCAGAGGAATTTTTTCCTGTCCTGTACATTTTTCTCTTGACGCAGAGTTCCTTTTATTTGTGTTTTTATCCCAACCTTTCTACTTTCCTTTCATACAGAAAAAAAAAGTGAAAGTGAAAGGCATTCAGTCATGTCTGACTCTTTGTGACCCCATGGACTGTACCATCCATGGAATTCACAGAACTATAAACCAATTCCAACAGATCGGTTCAACTCCTAGAGGAGTTTTTGTGAAAGAATTTAATGTTATGAATTTTCCTTTTCTTAGACAATTAGCCACAGAAGGGCTACTCAGTAACTGCATTCAGTTTCTGTTGCTACATAGAGTTACAAGACACGGCCCCATACTTAGCAACACTAGTTACAAAGTGAATGTCTCCAGACAGACTGGACCACACTGCTCAGGTATGTTTTTGAAGGTCTTTTAACTCTCTGTACTCCATGGCTATATGCGTGAAACAGTAAACATCCAAATGAAAACTGAAGGTCATAGTTAGTTTTCCAGATGTTTCATCTATGAAGCCAAGCATCTGGAAATACAAAAACATCTGGATGACTGTGCTCATCACTTTTCATCCAGCTGTTTTGGCAGCACTCAGACGTAGACCAAATCACTTTTTCTTTTTCTTCCTGTATCAGTACCACTGAAAAGCTGTGATAAGAATCACATTGTTAAGTAATATTAAGAGTGATATAAACATATCAAATAAATCCAAAGCAAATAGTTGTTTGTACTGAAATTGAATTTAAGCTTTTGAAACACATTCTTACACATGCATTAGGATTACTTTAGAGTTCAAGTATTTGAATGACATTGTTATAAATGGAGCTGCAGTGTCTAAAATAATAGTTTCTAATTTATTTATCTTATTTCTTAAGCAATAGGAAGTAACCTGAGTGTATAACAAATGAATATATGAATTTTATTTGCATTATGAAATAAAATTTAGGAAAGTGTTAACAAGTTTTAAACCACTTGTTTGGCTTTATATGTTAATGGTTTTTAGTAAATATAGATGACTAAAATACCAAAAGATGTAGTCCAAAGCTATTAGGATGTGAGAGTTGAACCATAAAGAAAGTTGAGTGCTGAAGAATTGATGCTTTTGAATTGTGCTAGAGAAGACTCTTGAGAGTCCCTTGAATAAGATCAAATCCTAAAGGACATCAATCAATCCTAAAAGACATCAACCCTGAATATTCATTGGAAGGACTGATGCTGAAAATGAAGCTCCAATACTTTGGCTACCTGATTTCCAAAAAGCCAACTTACTGGAAAAGACCCTGATGCTGGGAAAAATTGAGGGCAGAAGGAGAAGGGGATGACAGAGGAAGAGATGGTCAGATGGTATCACTGACTCAGTGGACATGAGTTTGAGTGAACTCTGGGAGATGGTGAAGGACAGGGAAGCCAGCTGCTGCAGTCCATGGGGGTCACAAAGAGTCAGACATGACTTAGCAACTGAATAACAAATATTTTATGTGTATGTATGGCTGGGAGGGTGGATACGTGTGTATGTATGGCTGGGAGGGTGGATACGTGTGTATGTATGGCTGAGTCCCTTAGCTGTCCACCTGAAACTATCACAACATTGTTAATCGGCTACATTCTGATATAAAATAAGCAGTTTAAAGTTTGAAAAAAAATGGCAAGCCACTTACCTACAACAAATACTATTCCACAACTTTCCATTTTTACTGATATAAAATTTAAATTCTTTTTCTTCTCAAAAACCACTCAAAGTTAACATGCTGGCATCTCTTTTCAGTTCAGCATTTGTAGAGTCTAGTCACAACTGAAAATGGCAGGTGGTGTTGGAATATCCTATTTCATTTTCTGTCAGAAAAGAGGACAAAAAATCGAATAACTACTAAAAACCTCTGAGTTCTTGAGAAATTCCTCTATAACTTTAATTCAAAATTTGTTATCCTATGGAATAGGCCCAAGAATAAAGATGAGCAAATATAGATAGCCCCCTTTTGTATCTTTTAAAACCTATATGCACATTTGATTATTGTGTATCAAATACTATTTCAGCTTCTGAGGTGGCGCTAATGGTAAAAACCTGCCTGCTAATGCAGGATATGTAAGAGACACAGGTTAAATCCCTGGGTCAAGAAGATCCTCCAGAGTAGGAAATGTTAACCCACTCCCATATTCTTGCCTGGAGAATCCCATGGACAGAGGAGCCTGGCAAGCTACAGTCTATGGGGTCACAAAGAGTTGGACATGACTAAACATGAATGCACCATCAAATATTATTTAGACAGATTCAGCAGAATACTTTGCAATCTCAGTGTGACTACTTTTGTCAATTTTAAACTTAGCTTGCTTAGAAAATAATCTTCACCTACTGTTTGGGGAAAGGGGAAATACAGATTTTTTTTAATGTAATTTTACCTTAAAATGAAGTAGCTTTTTTTTTTTTTTGAAGTAGCTTTTAATAATAGCACTAAATACATTGAGTTTAAGTCACAAATGGATTTTCTATTTAAAAGCAGCATACCACTGTAACAGTGGTATGGAAAGTGTAAATATTTCTATGCAAAAAGGATATGCAAGGAAATAATTGCACATTGTACAATAAATATTTGTGGAAAGAGAAAGTACCTTTTTTCCTCTAGCAAACATGTAGTATACTCCAGGTATTATGTTAGGCACTTTAGAACACAATGGAATTGTAATAACTATCCTATGGGGTAATTACAACCCATTTTTCAGGTTAAGAAACTGAGATTAGGAAAGGTCAAGCAACTTTCCCAAGGCCACACAACCAAAAGAGGATGTGCCAAGATTCCAATCCAGGCCATTTGGCTTTGGAGTCTGAGCTTTTACCCACTGTTCAATGTGATGCCTAATTAAACTAAGTGTTTAAAAATAATTTAAAGATACTGGCCAGTCCCTTTCATTCTTCCAACAAAAGTACAATAAACAATTACTTTGTTCTAAAAATGATTTGTTTCCAGGGACGAAAAAGCCACAAGCTGTTGCAGGCGATAGTTCTTTGTAAGTGACAGCTGCTCTGCTTTGTGAACTTCCCGCAAGCCTGCCAGAAAGTTAATATCAGTTACAATTAAGGAGGAAAATTATTTTGGGCAACATCACATTTGACAAGAGCTTTGGCAAACAAAGCATTGCCAAAGAGCAAAAATATTAACACTTTGCTAAAACTTTTCCTTTTTTTTCTCCTGTGCCAACTTTTGAAAAAAGGTGTAAACTGTGAACTGGAAGTTGATGAGTGTCGGTCCCAGCCCTGCCTCAATGGTGCCACTTGTCAGGACGCTGTGGGGGCCTACTTCTGTGACTGTGCCCCCGGATTCCTGGGCGACCACTGTGAGCTCAACACGGACGAGTGTGCCAGTGGGCCGTGTCTCCATGGTGGACTGTGCGTGGACGGAGCCAACAGGTATGCTTTCTCCCGAGAGAGCACTCACTGGCCAGAAGCTTCTGCACCACCTCTGGTGAATCTGGAGATCTCACATCCCCAGCTTAACGTTTTCAGAGTGCTTTTTATTCTTAAAAATGATGCAAGTGATGCAAGGTTGTAGCAGTCATGCTTTATTAAAAAATGCATCCTTCAGAGGGCCCCTGTCTCAAGAGAGAGCATTTTCCAAGTCGTTCTTGTAACAGTTTAGAATTTCTTCTGTTATAGAAAAGTGCCAGCCTTCCACATCGAGGAGACAAAGGGGGATCTACCTTCCCTATCTGTGGCAGATGCGAAAACGAGGCTGGAGTCATTCTGTATGTGAATGTAAGATTGTACTTATGAAATGACAAGCATATAAATCAAGTGGTGAAAAAGAAATCCTTTAGGAATTTTATCTAAACAGTGTTGGCAAGGGCAGTGATATTAAATTAATTATGTCTTGAATTTCTAGGTATTGGGGGAATTAGGTGAGTACTTTTGAGCCAGCAGAATGATGTTCCAAATTAGAGTCTAACATTGACTTGTCAGCAAAAACAAAACCAAAACAATAAATCGTACCATAATATGAGGCGTATAATAAATTTGGGTGATGGTAGTTGAATTCATGTAAGATATTTTTTGGAAGAACTTTCTAATACTTAGTTAAAGCACAGGCATTGAGTTATCAAACCCTCGAGTTTTAACTGCTTAGCACCTGGCTGTGTCCTCACAGATCCTCCGGCAGCTCAGAGGAAGGCAAGGTGGGCCTTAAAACTCCCCCGTGACAACAAAGAGTTTAAAGTTTGGGGAAGTCAGGGGACACCCCCACAGGTTCATACAGTTAATTCTTTGCAAAGGAGCACCAGAATCCAATTTTATTTAATAAATAAGGTATAATTTACCCAAATCTGAATTTCAAAATAAGTCAGACTCAAAGGGGGAGCAATAAAAGTCTTGTGTGCTTCAAATATATTCAGGAAAACAATTAATTTTATGCAGAGCAAGGTGGTGGAACACCTCTTTGGTAAACTGTGAGTGTGATCCAAGCTTTGCCTGTGACTTCCAGTTACACCCACTTGTTCTCCGGTGGTGAGAATCTTCACGCCTGGGGACTGATAACTGGGCAACACGTGGACAGACAAACCAGAGGCGCGGTTCCCACACAAGTGCTCCAGGGAAAGAGGAGGCTCTCCCAGCCAGGCCTCACTGTTTCCAGGAGGCGTCAGGACAGAAGTCACACGCTTTTGGTGCCTGCATGCGTGCATACTGAGTCTCTTCAGTCGTGTCTGACTCTGTAAAACTGTGGACTGTAACCCTCCAGGCTCCTCTGTCCATGGGATTCTCCAGTCAAGGATACTGAGCAGGTTGCCATGCCCTCCTCCAGGGCATCTTCCTGACCCAGGGATCGAATTCATGTCTCTCATGTCTCCTGCATTGGCAAATGAGTTCTTTACCACTAGTGCCACCTGGGAAGCCCTTTGATGCCTTTGGAAACACAAACAGAACAAGGCTACACCTGCTTCATGCCAGCTTCCCTCTCTTCACATGAGTATGTGCCGTGAATACTTTTTCTACTGTATCCATAGCTCTCTCATCCCAAGTTCAGCAAATACGACCTGACTTTGTTGTCCCACTGAAAAGATTAACACATTTGCTATGAGATATGTGAGAAAGGCAGAAACTACACCCCTGGAAGGTTCCTGCAGACAAAGGGAGGTGTAAATGGAGACTGAGTCTGTGAACCCAGGTGCACTTGCCAGCCTTGACCACAGGGCCCTGGTCTTCAGTGTCTCACACGTGGTATTCAGATTTGCAGTAGGCATTTTTTAAATCAGAAATGCAATAGTGAATAGAGGATTTCTAGCTAGGAAAATTATGTGTAAAAATTATAGTCACTTATATTTGCTAGTATTTCATTTTTGTTAGTGGAATCTTAATGTCTGCATTGGTGGTAGATAGACACATAGCCAGGGTGAACAGGGCTGTTACTCTTTATTAAATCATAGATATCCTCCCCCTAGACACTTATTTTATCTAAGCCAAGTGTGTAAGCCCATGATTTTTCAATACTAGATCCTCAAGGAAAGGCCAACTAAACTGAAATAAAGTGAACAACTCTCCCGGTCAGATTTTTTTTTTTAGATCTGTCAGATAACCCCATTCAATCAACAAATCATTATAAATAACATGAATAAAATATTCTTGTAATCTAGAAATGAGGAAACATAAGTCACAATTTATATAATGAGAAGCTTTCCTCTTTTTCATAATTTATTATTTCACTAGGGACCTTATTACTGGATTTTTTTATATAAGAAAGTGCCTTGATGGTATAAATCATTCTCTGCTGCCTCACAAATATTAACTACTCTATCTCATACTATTCAGTAGTTTTATTCAGTATTTTCTGCCCTTTGGCATGCTATGTTCATCCTTCATATACACATTTAATTATCCCAACAACTCTGTGACAAAGGTACCTTCAATTTATGGGTGAGGAAACAAAAGTATAAACAATCATGGTTTTCAAGTAACTTTGACTGAATACTTGCTTGGGGTAAGTAAGTCTCCTAAGCTCTCCAGGGTCTCCTTCAGTCAGTCAGTTCAGTCGCTCAGTCATGTCTGACTCTTTTCAACCCCATGAATCGTAGCACGCCAGGCCTCCCTGTCCGTCACCAACTCGCGGAGTTTACTCAAACTCATGCCCATTGAGTCAGTGATGCCATTCAGCCATCTCGTCCTCTGTCGTCCCCTTCTCCTCCTGCCCCCAATCCCTCCCAGCATCAGGGTCTTTTCCAACGAGTCAACTCTTCCCATGAGGTGGCCAAAGGATTGGAGTTTCAGCTTCAGCATCAGTCCTTCCAATGAACACCCAGGACTGA